CATAGCTCCGATGACCAACTTTATAAACAAACTGATGGAATTGCTATGGGTTTGCCGTTTGGAGTCCTCTTTGCTAATTTCTACATTGGACATTTAGAAGAATTCACTTTCAAAAACACGCCACAACTTAAACCAGAAATATATTGCCGATATGTCGATGATATATCTGTAGCATACATCAACCCAGACACCATAGAAGAATTAATAAGCACTTTTAAAAGACCTAAGTTAAATTTTACTTTGAAAAAATCCATAAACAACAAACTACCTTTCCTCGATACCTTAATACATAGTATCAACAACAAATTCAAAACTTCCGTTTATACTAAAACAAGTAATAAAGGAATTTGTTAGGATGGACGGAGTGAATGCAGCGAAGCTTACCAAACAAACACGGTCTCATCATTTGTTAATCATCGATCCTTCTATGGATCTAAAGGATAGAGTAACTGAACTCAAACGGATAACCAACATGCTAATCTACAATGGTTACAAAAGAACATTCATTGAAAAAATTATTAGCAAAAAGATCGTGAGGTAACAAACAAAAATAACATTGATAAAACAACAAATAACATGCTTTATTACGAAAATACGATATCAACAGCTTATAAGGCTGATGAGAAAATAGTAAAACTATCAACGAAAATGATAAATTAAAACTCGGGATCTATTACGCGAACAACAAAACCTTATTCCTTGTTCTTAATAATTGCAATAATAAACCAGAATCGATAATGAAGAGCAGTCATCTAGTAAATTCTTTTGATTGTAAAATCGGTGATTGTAGGCACCGAAACACAGAATATATCGGATTTACTACTAAGACTTTATCAAGAAGGTTAAAATGGTGCAATAAAAAATCATCTTATAAATTTACACCAAATAAAAATAACAAGGAAAATATTAAACTCAAATACCAAGGTCTTATTTTACAACCATAATATAAGCAATTTGAGAATGGCAGAGGCTTTATTAATAGAAAATAGAAACCCTGTAATAAACATCCAACAACAGGCTGTAACGATCCTTTCAACAAAGTAATTATTCATACAAAGAAACAATGGAAAAATGAGTAAAAAGTAGTCATTTTGAAAATTGGAATTATAGGATGGTATGTTAGTGTTTGCATACATATCCAAATACTTTCAGATATATTTGTTCAATAATAATAATATTATAAAGCGACAACCGGGTTATTTAGTGCAAACACAAGTGCTTGTCCATCTGCTTTGACAGGTACAGGGGTGCTTGTTAGTTATTAATATATTAATAGTGATTTGTTAATTTCAGTTTTGTTTTTTTGATAATAGAACTTGTACGAAATTTATTAATAACCACTTGTAAAGATAAAATACAGGCAAATAGATTAAAAGTAGGACGATTTTTAAAGGATCTTATCTCAAAGTATACAATAGATATATACATACTAAAATATAATACCATTATAAATAATGGGCTTAACATAAAAGTCAATAAACTCAAATCAAAATTTTTTAATAATTGACAAACATGTAAGAAAAGTCAAATAATAAAGTTTTTATTAGCCGTTATTTATCAAATTCAATTTAAAATTCAGTTCAGTAATTTTAAGCTTGGTCAGCGAATTAGCTCAGTCGATAAAAGTGCCATGTCTCTTGTAGTTACGCGGTGGCACTGGTTGAATACTGAGTGTCCAAAACTCAAATGACCATCTAACACCATGCGCTCGTGATATGGGGCTTACACGTGCATAGGTAACATAGCGTGTGTGTATGTTGTGCCGTGTAGATATTGCAGCCTTTTAGGTGCATAGGTTTAATTATATGTAAGAATGATATGTAAGAAATTTTGCTTATGTCAGAGATGTATAACAAAAAAGCTACACGTTGTGTAGCAAAGTCTTTTGCGATCCTGAACCGTTTTTATTATTTCTGAATTATTTCAAACTCTTCTGTTACTTTTTTCCATAATGATTACACGTTGATTGAAAGATTTCCAAATTGTCATAAATGAATTTTTATTTAAAATTTATAGTTTTTGTTTATTAACCCTAAAAGATAAAAACAATGTGCTTTGAATATGTTTTGAACAACTTGTCGAACTTGACAAATTTAGAAATATAACATCCGAAAATCACTGGTTTAGCTGAAAATATTGTTGTGATTAGAAGGTTTTATGTCTCTTTTATTCATTTTTATTAGAGGTGTTAAGCAATACAAACACACACACACACACACACACACACACACACACACACACACACACACACACACACACACACACTACATAGAACGTGATCGACAGGGACCTCTTGTATTCGAATCCAGTCACTGCGACAGCAGGACAAGGCGCCTTAACCATTACACCATCTCACCAACTTTTACTCTTAAAGTTTAACAGAAACATTTTAGTTGCCACTTGTTTGCATGCCGGATTTTGTACAAGACTTTATTTAACAAATTTTTACCATTAATTATTAGGTATTTCCGTTTCAATAAATAGAATTAAAAAGTAGCAGCAACCCACTGGTTTTATCCTTGTGTTATATTACATATATATGTTGCTTTTCGCTTCTTTTCCTTGTTACTATTACTACCACTCCACGGTTACTGCTTACAATATTACAAATAAAAAGTATAAAATTTTTAATGCCAATTTTTAAGAATTTGCTAATGCCTTTTTGATAAATGTGACGACATAAATTATGAGGATGGTCATAAAACATTAAATTTGAACTGTAAACGATAAGAAAATTACTTTAAATTTGTCAAAATTAACAAAATGTAAAATGTGACAACTTACACTTTTGTTCTGGCACGTGGCTGATTTGTTCTATTTCCTAACGTCTAAACTCTATCGAATAAAAACTATTTACTAATATTTCCAAGAGGGTAAAACTAAAACGTCTAAACGTTTTTTGTTAACAGCTATTATTTTGATGAATTACTATTTTAAAAAAATTGTGTTTGATAACTTTGAACATTTTAAAAATATTTACACTACAATTAACATCTCAACTCCAATATCACCCAAGTAGAAAACAGATGCCATGAAAAATGTTAGGTTAGCTCATTTGCTTACCTGAATATTTGAAACTCTCTGGAAAAATATTGCTTCAAAGACTTGAGCAAAAAAAATTTAGTTATTGGAGAATTGTTTCTTCGTAACCACACCCACATAACCCAATAAACTATCACAACACAAACATCTTAAACACTCATACACCCACACACGCAATATATGTATATATACATATCTTTTACCGTTACATTTCAGTTCTCCAAAAATTTAACTGTTTCTTTTGAATAAAATTATAAAAAATCTTTAAAAAAAATTCACTTGCCTTGTGTCTTTCTTATATTAAAACAAAGTTGAAACACAACTCAAAGAAATAGATTTGTTTACATTCGAATTAGCTCAACAATTTGAAGAACTTAAGCCAAATTTGCCCAGTGGCAAAATACAACAAAAAACGCAACGCAACATAGATCCGCGAATCCGCTAAACTACAAAAATGCGCTAATAAAAAATTTACTTACACCCACACCGTTTCTCCTACACCGGGCCACCCACCCAACGACATCCACTCCTAACCCTCAACACAGCGGACGAACTACAACAACCACGTTCCATCGAGGCTCCTCCACGACATACCAACACCCACCTATTGATATATATTGATTTCTGTTTTTGAGGTAAGTATTAAACCAATGGAGAGCCTTTCCTCTAGTGCTATATAAATACAATTTTTGCGAAAGTATATCTTGATTAATAAGGTCGAAGGCTTTTGACAAATCAATAAAGATCCCGATAGTTAAAATTTTCTCGTTCAAGTTATACATCACTCGTAGCATGAACTCAAATACAGCAAGTTCTGTTGAATGATTGGCTAGAAAGACGTATTGTCTGTCCGTGATGATGCTATTTTAATTGTGAAACGAAGTTATTCTTGAGTGCATTAACTTTTCTAAAATTTTTGAAAGTGGTGAAAGAAGAGAAATGGGTCTGTAATTTGACATGTCCAGGCACTTAACCAACAACGAAAACAAAAAAGTAATAAAAACTAGCATTGTAAATAGTGACAAAGAAGAATATGATGCTATCGATGAAGAAAAGGAGACCAAAGAAGATGACCAGCCAATAAAGAAACCTGACACCTAATTTCCATCTAAGTTCACTTCGACAAAGTCAATCTCCATTTTGACAAAGTCAATATTTCCCTATATAAACAGCAAAAAGCACCGATGATGATTCATGTATATTTGAAATATGGCCTTATTTGCAGCATGAATTCGGAAAATAAGTTTATTTTGAATTTTAATAAACTAAACGTTCACCAAAAAACTTTAGTGAGAAAACTTGAAAAAACGAACTACAAACATATTAACGCCAAACATTCGCTAGAATTTATAGAATATTGTAAAAACATATATATATATATATATATATATATATATATATATATATATATATATACACATACATACATATTTATATATATATATATATATATATATACACACATACATACATATTTATATATACACACACACGTGTGTTTTAATTTGCATTTAATGAAAATAAATATGGGCTTGACTATATGTGACCTGACCATTGATAATGTCAATAATTAGAAATTTTTTTTCATACACAAAGAAATTAATTATTTTTTTAATGCAAACAAATTATTTAATGAAATTTTTCAAGTAAAAATAAATGAATAACATTTTTTAAATACAAATTTGTGTTTATGTATAAAATGAAATTGGTTTCATATTAATAAAAATTCATCTAGCCATTAACTATTGTTAAGCAAAGTAATCACCAATCAGTCAAGCAGTTGATCACTAAATCTATTAATCAATAAATCATTCAGTCAGCTTAATATTTTTTATCAACTTATCAGCTTGATCAGTTATTTAACCAACAATTATTAATTGATTAATTAAGTAATTCATTAGTTCACTCATTCAACTAATCAATGAATTAATTTATTCATTAATTCATTCAACCATACATCAGTCAACCACAATACCCTCCCTCTTGACGCATACAATCCAATCCTCTATTCTCTTCTTCGTGATATCATCGCAGTAGTTTACAGTTCTTTTTTTGCCGCACTCATCATCTTTATCACCACCATCATCATTAATGACGTCATCGTAATTAATTACCGCCATTAGTTTTCGGAAGTGGTTCACTTGTTCTTCGGTGTTGTACAAATAACAGCCACCTATCTTAACTTCATCATGCAGTTTCAAATTCTTTGAATACTCTCCTCCGTGCTCTCCACTGGTTGCAGATGACATGGATGATTTTGATGAGGATGAAGAAAGTGATGAGGAGAGTGATGAGGAAGGTAAAGAACTTTTATTCTGCAATTTTGAAAACTCTGCTTGCATTTTGGAATTAAGTTCTGTAACGTGTTTTGTTAAGTAACCGGTGAGATTTTTTTTTTCACTTCTGATGGGAAGATTGTTGTTATTTTTTGAAATTTTGCTATGTCTGTTAATATGTTTCACAAAAGCGTATGTGCTGTTGTGCACGTACTTGAGATGTTTCTTGGTAGTAAGTTTAGTTTGAACATCACACATGTCTTCATTAAATACTTCCTCCTCAAAATTGTTTTGCACATTAATAGTGTTGTGGCGCACAGTTTTTCCTTTTTGTTCTAAGGTATAACCATGGTTCTTTTTTCCAATGTCTTGTTTGTTTGTTTGATCTCTGACGTTCACAACTGAATCCTCATCTTGCCCGACGCTGTTGTTTTTATTACAATAATCATTTCGTTTTTTGTGGCCTACGATTGGTTGCAACGAATTAAACACTTTGTCTTCATTGTTATTGCTAAAATCATATGTTTTCCAATTAGTCTTAACTATGTTTTTTTTGTCTTGATTGGTTTTACTATTTTGTAGATTGATTTCATGATTACTTCCATAAGATTCGTCGCAGTTTTTCATTGACTTTTTAGAAATATCGCTTAAAGATGGATATATTGAGAACGATAATTTTTTAAGTATAGTTGTGTTCCGCGTGCTATCGTCCACAACATGTTCAATTTGGTTGCATGCGCTGGTGCTGCTAGAAGAAAACTCATGACTTTTTAAAAAGTCATTTTTGTTTTTATTATTGAAGTTGTTGTTTATCGCAGTTTTCTTCATTCTGACAATTTTATTTTTTTCGTGTGTCGACAACTGTTTTGACTGGATTTGACAACTTTTTGATAACCGAATTTCAATGCTTTTCCCATCGCGCAAATTGGAATCAATATTTTTGACTTCACTTAGCTTATGAATCATGTTGAGGTTGCAATCATTTTTGTTGATATGACAGCGTTGTTTGTTGAATGAAAGTTTATAGAGGAATTTGTTTTTTAACTGGCATGTTGGTTCTGTGTCAATTTCGTGCTCGAAATCCTGTTTCATTTCTTGTTGCAACTGATGCTCATCGGTAGGTTGTTGAAAAATTTGTCGTTGTTGATACTTTGGTATGATATTTTTGAATGTTGACAATCGTCGCTGAGACATGTTCACGTCATTTGTCCTGTTTATCGACGAGTCGGTGTCATTTATTTCAGTAGTTGATTGCTTCATTCTGGGGAGCACCGTAACTTCATGTTTATCAGCTTGCTCATTTTTGTAGCGATGACAGCGATGTTCTTGTTTACCACAACAATTTGTTTCACAATACTGTTTTTTAGAAAACTGAAATTTTTCTTTAAA